TTTTTTGCTAATAAAAATTAAAAATTTTTGAAAATTCCTCTTCAAAAAACGAATAATTTTTAAAGAGGGGGAAATTCGTTTTTAAAAAGTCCTGGTTACAGCAACATGCAAACGAATTAAAACGAATGTCTAAACTGAGCAGGCAATTTTCAATATATATTAATAACATAGACAAAAAAATTACATTGTTCCAGGAATGTAATAACGCATTAAAAACAACAATATAAAAGAAAGCTCAAATGTAAGCTCAGTGAACCGAACAAAAATAGATAGCTCACAATGTTACACCGCAGAAAAACTGGCACAGCAACCTGCCAGTGAGAATTGCGTGGAATAGCCGCCAATATATGTAAAAATCGTCGTCCTTTTGAGCAAAATCCTTTGTTTCTAACACTCTGTGTATTCAAGAAACTCAGGAAGCCCATGTCTAACTCAACCTCGTCTTACGCAATCAGAGGTTCCAGCTTCTTCAGCTCTCTTTTTTCAGCTCTTTTTCTAGCTTCAGCTCCCGATGCGCAGTGAATCTGCACTTCCGACGAGATTTTCCGTTTGATGATATACAAAATTTTCAAGTTTCAGACTGATGTGTTGGTGATGATGTTGTCGCCCGCTGATGTTGTTCCGCTTGCTGTTGTGACGTTGCTGCTGGTAGCGTTGACGATGACAGCACCAATCCTCCGGATGACAGACGTGGATTCCGCAAGCGTTTCAAACGTTTTGAGAAATTATACCTCAGCTGCTTCCAACGTTTTACATAAAATTTTCGTAGCGCATCACCGGCATGCCTGATTGCTGAATTGTCCTCATTAAAGATGCAGCAGTTTTCGAAAATCTGCTCCAAATCGTCGATGAAACTTTCCTGCGTTGCATATCTGAAAATTTTTAGAAGAGCTGGTGAAAAATGCTAAAATGCTTCGAAGATGTCAACAATTATTGAACCCCAAATACCACTGTTTTTTGAGAAAAAAATTTGAAACTTTCTCGCAACGACATCCCAGTGACTTTTCTATCACCATCATCAGAAGACCTGTCACCAGCTTACTTTTTTTT